TGGCAGCAGGAACAGAAATTAGCATCTCGCAGCCTCTCTCTCCTCTGTTTCATTGTCACAGTGGGTCTCCCTCATTACCAGGGAAATGAAACATCTTTACAGTTCAGGCGGCCTCTGCCTTTTATCTGTCGACCACGGCTTGAGGCATTACTGCCACATTTAACAGCAATTGGTTATGGCCCTTCTCTTTCAAATGGGACAATGGAGCTCTCCCCCATATTAGCATCCCATGAGGGGACTGCAAGAAGTCACAGCTCCTTGTGGTTTGCCATACTGCTCCCAGCATCCACCCATTCATTCTCTCATGCTTAAAATAATGATAAACCCAATGTTTTCACCCCTTCTGGGGAATTTTCACACTTAAGTCAACAGTTCCAGAAATGAATGTTCCTCCCATTCCTACAAGGAGAGGTAACAATACACACAAGGCCAGAGACCAGGTCACTTCCTGCTTCCCTTCGAAGCCCCCCATGCTTTGCCTTCATGGTTGTCCCCAAAGACGAGTCTGGAGACAGCACCCATCATGAGGGCAGGGTCCAGGGATGCCAGAGCAGCAGCTCCCTTTCCCCTCACTTTGCCCAGCAGCATAGGCACACTGTCTGCAGGAGGAATGAGCACAGAGTTAATTAAAAGACAAATTAGCCCCTGCTTGGATTACTCTTTAAAATAAAGCTGCTGTTGGAGGCGAGTAGTTTGCAATGGCAGTAGCAAGCTTGCACCCACTTGTCCCTGGAGCTCACTGGCACTGGCTGCAGAGGAGGGCTCAGCTCCCTGTCGGTGTCACTTATAAACATATAAAGCTCCCTAGAAACACACAAGGAAAAAGGATGCAATGAATGGAAGTGAAAGCCCAGATGAGCACATGATCAAAGCTGTTGCTTGTGAAATTCTGTTTCCTGACCACATTGCAGAAGCAAGTAGTGACCAGACTTCTCTTTCTGGTTTGCATTTCTAAATAGGAGATGCAAGGAAAATACTGTTGTTAAAACCTCTAAACCTGCATGACCAGAAATCTGCTGGTTAACTGGATGAAAATGGGACAGAAGAACGTACCTCACGGATGTAGAACCCTCATCTCTCTGCCTGCCTTCTTCCCCCAGTGCACCAGACACAAAAACCTTGTGCTGCAGTAAGAGTCTACAGCTTTTGATGTGATGACCATAAGGCAGCAAAGACACCTCCACAGACCTGCAGCAGAGTGCTGAGGTGGCTAAGGGGCTAGTGTGGGCTTGGGGAACACGCCAAACCCAGCCAGGTCACTCATAAGTCATGTGAGCCCTGTGGAGACTGGTTAGGGTCTGTCCCAGACCACCTCCCCACAACTCTGGTAAGTAGCAACTTAAATAAGTCGGATTTTTAAGCAGAAGGCTAGTCTCAATGAGGTTCATCCTGAGACATATAAAGAATGGGCTGTCAAGCTGTCTGTTAGTGGCTTAATACTTGAGGAGGTGTTAGACATCAAGGACAAGAAAAGGGCAAAATTATTTTTTAAAAGGAGAAACTGAATACTGCTTGTTCAGCCTGGAGAAAGGAAGGCTCCTTAAGGGGAGACCTTAGAGCAACTCCAGTGCCCAAAGAGGCTGCAAGAGACCTGGAGAGGGGCTTTGGACAAGGGCCTGTAGGGAGAGGACAAGGGGAATGGCTTTAACCTAACAGAGGGGAGATTGAGATGAGCTTAGGCAGAAGCTCTTCCCTGTGAGAGTGCTGAAGCACTGGCACAGGGTGCCCAGAGAAGCTGCGGCTGCCCCATCCCTGGCAGTGTTCAAGGCCAGGATGGATGGGGCTTGGAGCAACCTGCTCTAGTGGAAGGTGTCCCTGCCTGTGGCAGGGGGCTGGAACTGGATGAGCTTTAAGGTCCCTTCCAACCCAAATCATTTTGTGATTCTGATTAACCGCAATCTTCATGTAAATACAGGGAGAAAGTACTGAGAAGCATATTAGAAGAATGCAAGGAAAAAAAGAAAATAACCTTTATTTTGTTTGTTTTAAAGAAGAAAAAAGCATGTCAGACCTACCTACTCTCCCCTCCAAGAAATCTGCAAGCCTTGTGGGAAGGGGTAAGCTGTAGGCATCATATGTTCTTGACATTACCAAGGTTTATGAAGTATTTTCCCAAGGTACTCTTATGGGCAAGATAAGAAAACAATTCAAATGAAAACACAAAGGGACAGCACAAAATTGGTAGATTAAATATGTGCACAGATTAATTGTCAATATTTTATGGTCAAAAACAGTTCTTCCTTTTCTTTTGCATGCATTAACTGACTTAACTCACACTGCAACCTTCCCTTCGTGGGACAACTTGCCTGCCTCCTCACCATCCAGCTACCACCTTTCAGGAAACTTGAAAGAGTTTAATGTCCTGGGAGCATCTGTTTCTCTGTCAAAATAGACTGAAACTGGTCCATGAGTTAAAGGCTTATTGTCTTAGTCCTGTACTAAGACAAACAGACAGCAGGAATTTTGCAAACTGGTGTGCAAAGCTGTTCAACAGACCCATGCAAATGATGCTTCCACTAGATGGGAAGAGTCAACAGCCCGAACACACAGCAGAAACAGCTTGCTAGACAGCAAATCTGCAGGAGAGGAGCCTGCTGACTGCGAGGCAAGCACAAACAGTGCCACGCTGTCACATACACAGAGAAAACCAAACATCCCACTGGGATGTGTAAATGGATGTAACCCATTAGGCGGGGGGGAATCTCTGTGAAGAGCCCCATGTACGGCTCTGAGAACTCGCACCGCAGGAGAGACAGCCAGGGTCAAGGCAGCAAAGGGAAAAGCTGCACAAGGTCCAGAAAACACAACCCGCAGGGAAAGGCTGAGCAAGCAGGTGGCTGAACAGGGAAACAAGCGCAGCCATCTTCAAACTTAGGCCAAAAGTGCTTTTTTCAAGAAGAGGGAGACTGAAACACCTCCCAGTTCCCTGTGACAGGGCAGGCAGCTTTTCTAAGTGTAAGGAAAGTGAAGAATATGAGCAAATCATCTAGAAAGGAGTGTGTCCTGGGTTCAGCAGTAGCAGTCATGTTTCTCCTCCTTGGTAGCTGGTGCAGTGCAGTGTTTTGACTTTCGGCTCGGGAACAGAGCTGATAGAGATGTTTTGGTTTGGCCAAGGACTTTGTGAGCCTCATGCTCTGCCAGGGAGGAGGGGAAGCCAGGAGGAAGCAGAGACAGGACACCTGACCCAAACTGACCAAAGAGGTATTCCATACCACAGCACGTCATGCCCAGGATGGAACTGGGAGTTAGCCGGAAGGGCTGGGAGACTGCAGGGTTGGAGGAGGTATCGGTCGGAGCTTGGTCGGGCTTGGGGGGCGAGTTATCGGTCAGCGGGTGGTGAGGTGTTGTATTCTGTTCCCTTGTTATTTCCTTTATCATTATTATCATTGGTGGTAGCAGTAGTGATCTGTGTTATACCTTAGTTACTAAACTGTTCTTATCTCAACCCGTGGGAGTTGCATTCTTTTGATTCTCCTCTCCGTCCCTCCGAGAGCAGGGGGAGGGCAAGAAAGGGGGGGAAGTGAGCGAACGAATTACCTGACTGGGTTTAAACCACGACAGAGTGGTATCTCTTAACAACCTTCCCCTGGTCAGAGGAAGCAGGTACATAAAACATCTGCCATGCTTTCTATATGGCGACTTTCGTTTGAGGACAGTGCATTGTCGCCGTGATGCCTGATCTTACAACTTGCTGTGACCACACAGAATTATAGAATTACAGAATCACAGAATGGTTTGGGTTGGAAAGGACCTTAAGATCATCCAGTTCCATGGCAGATCATCTCCATGGGCAGGGACACCTCACACTAAACCATGTCACCCAAGGTTTTGTCCAACATGGTTTTGAACACTGCCAGGGATGGGGCATTCACCACTTCTTCGGCCAACCTGTTCCAGTGCCTCACCACCTTCACAGTAAAGAACTTCTTCCTTGTATCTAACCTGAATTTCCCACTTTGCACAAGTAGGGGCTGACAATCCCTTGATTTACAGGGACTGGATTGAAATCTTCTTTCCCCTAATGCATCAGCCAGCCTTCAGGTAGGAGAATGCCTCAACCTTGAAAAGGTGAGCCTGAGCTGGATGCTGGAGCACAGAGGAGCTGCCCCACAAGCACATGACTTTTTTATTACATGGTACAACAAGGAGGCACCTAATACCAGGTCCCAGCTTCCTGACTCACAGATAGTCCAGGCATGAAAGGCTGGACTTCCCCTACAGCAGACCTACCAAACAGAGGAGCTGGGACGTCTTTTTACACTCACCTCCAAGATGTCTTGGTGTCCACTTCTTCCTTCTGGGATCCAAGATTTCACACGAGTCCTGTATTGGGTCTACAAGATTCATTTTTTGTGGTAGTCCTGCTATGGACTTTCTTCAGGCCCAGCCAGCCTTGCTCAGTCCTCAGGTTCCTGTGACAGGTTTTGTGATGAAGACCATTTCTTTTCAGAGAAGATGCTCTTTGGGCACAGGCACTCTCAGAAAGAGGGGACAGCAGTGTCTGAGCAAAACAATGAGCAAAAAAAAAAAGTGTCCTCAGCAAAAGGTGGGCAAAAGCAAGCGTAATGCCTTAAACTGGGACACCAATACTCTGTTTCTAGTTCTGCCACTAGTTTCTAGCCACAGAGATTTTTGTCAAGTCACCTAAAATGAGTAGCAATTAGATACTTTGGTGTCACAGTGCAAAAAGAGCTGTTTTTCCCTTTATACTTGTCAAGGAATAACACCACTTTCATCCACAGTGGGAGACACATACTGCAAGGACCTCAAATACCCCACAATGAACAGAGTCTGAAAATGGAGGGTACTTAACCTAGGAGAGAGGAACACTTGTTATGAAAACCCTATATGCTCAGTAATCCAAAGCTGCTTCATTCCACTGAGAGAAAACACACAATCTCAAGGATTCATTGCAAAAGCTACTACATAATGATAACAAACCCCTCTGCAAGTACTGTCCCCCTCAGCTGTCCAGCTCCACTCCTTCAATTATATCTCCTTCAATTATATCTGCCACTGCAGGCCCTTGTTTTATCAACCCCTCCAGCCCCTTGCAGCTCCATCAGCTGGTCTCCTGTAATGTTACCCTTCTTGCTTCTTCTGAACTTGAAGTACCAACACAACACAGCAAGGGCCAGGAGAAGGATCAGCACCAGTGGTAAGTACAGAATGAAGTTCAGCACTGATGGGGATAAGCAGGTTCTAGACAAAATGGTTGACTCTGGAGAAAAAAAAAAAAGGAGTGAGGCCCCAAGTAGTTTGAGTTTCTCTCTGTTTTTCTATAGGTTATTCTTTTACCACTTCCCCTCAATCTTCAATACCTATCAATTTTTATGAATTCAAGACCAGGTTGGACGAGGCCTTGGGCAATATGATTTAGCATAAGGTGTCCCTGCCCACGGCAGGGGGATTGGAACTAGATGATCTTAAAGTCCTTTCCAACCCTAACTATTCTATGATTCTATGATATAGGCTGCCTGAGGAGAAGGGGGAGAAAAACCATGCAATTTGCTTCAATTTCTTATTTTGGAAGGTCAGATAAAGCCCTGGTTTGTTCAGCTGAAGTTACTCCTGGTTGTAGGTATACTGGCATATGACTATGTCATTGCCCCTTGGCAATTGCTCAAACATTTGAATTTGTGATCCAGAGGGGCATTTTGAGATACCTGCATCACTGAAGAAACACATATGCACACAAGAGAAAAAGAGAGAGAGCGAACAAACACCCAGCTGATCTTCGCAGACTCACAGACTGGTTCAGGTTAGAAGGGCCTTTAAAGCTCATCCAGTTCCAACCCCCTGCCACGGGCAGGGACACCTTCCACTAGAGCAGGTTGCTCCAAGCCCTGTCCAACCTGGCTTTGATGCCAGGGATGGGGCACCCACAGCTTCTCCTGGATTTTGTGAAAACCATGAAAACCACTTGTCAAAAACCCACCAAAAATGGAGGAGAATTTTTCAGCAGTTACGAAGTAATTTTAGCAATGGTTACTCCACCAGTAATGGATCACAAGAGACAGAGGGAGCTGATGAAGGAGAAAAATCCAAGTGCTAGAAGGAGCCATGATGGACAACAGCAGGAACAAAACAGGAGGGGGATGAAGCACTGTCAGTCCCTCCCTATGCAATTAAATCCAGATTAGCTCTGCTGTAGTTGCAAACACATGTGAATAGGCTCCATGCCTGCCTGTGCCAGTAGCAGGCACAAGGGAAGGGTCCCCTGAGCTCTTCCACAATGGTCAGTACAGGTAACTCGTGCAGAAGTATACACACATGTAGGCACACAGCTCTATTGTTGCACTGGTCATGCACCCAACTCACCCTAAGAGGACAAAGGCTGTTTTTAGAGACCTCACTGGAGACGGACTTGCCAGCAAGAAATAATTTTTTCCCCAAAACAGTTAAGAGCTCTGGTCCCAATGGCACATGGTTTGTGCCCATGGTCTCACAGAGAGCACACAAGCCACAGAGCACTGCAGACATAAGTGCACTGAATGGTACCCTCTGGACCACATACCTCACAGTCAGAGCCCTCGATATCCCATATAACCACAACCTCCAATGTTTACAATGCCAAGCACCTGGGTTTCAGCCCTGGCAGATCATCAACACTGGGACTCACTGCCTCGCCCACCAGGCCCATAGCACATGTCCCTCAAAGGGCTCCTCTTCCTGGCTCCCAACATAACTCTGGTGATATCCCCAGCACTGATCCCCTCTGCAATCCCTTAGCAAGCCTTCCTGTCCCCACGGCACCTTTGCCATCGTAGCCAGCATCACTAATGTGGGATGAGGAGCCCCTTCCACCCAGCAGCATTACCCATCAGGATGGTAATGAGCTGGATGTACTTCAAGCGTGCCAAGATTTGCAGAAACCAGTCCCTCCCCTCACCCTGTTGCTGCCACTCCTGTACCCAGCAGTGGTACAGCCCAGCGTCAGCCCCCTCCATGCTGTGCAGTGTCAAGTTGAAGTCATTGGCAGCAGGGTGGCGGAGGCACAGCCTCCCTGCCAGGCTCTCCCGGGGGTACTGGACAGAGCCATTATGGTGGAGGGTGAGCAGGGTCCTGATGCAGCTGCTCTTATTGCCCCTAAACCATGTGGCCAAGAAGCAGGTGGTGGGCAGGCGGGCACCTTGCAACAGGCAGTGCAGCGTCACCTCCTCTCCCTCCCTCACCAAGATGATGCGGCTGGTTTTCTCCAGCTGCAGCTCCTGCCCTGAAGTAGGATGTGAGCAGAAAGATATGTTGAGTTGCCATATAAATGCGTCTGTCTGTGCCTGCAGGCTGATGGAAATCCTCTAGCATAAAGTGTGTGGAATTGGGATGGCAAGAGCCTCTGCAGGACACCCACAGACCCCTTGCTCCATGAGGTGTTCCCCTCATCATCTCTGCCCCCTATTCATAACCCTCTGCTGTAATAATTCCCACCTACTCCAAATATGTGATAGGGCATCATTTAGACAAAATGCTATTTAGGAAGCTGGAATTCTCTGATCTGCTTTATTTAGAATTGCAACCCAGTGAGGCTGAGAGAGGGAAGTACTGATGCAGGGACACCCAGCATGCACCTCAGCAGTGCAGTGCTGAAGGAGGGAGCAGCTGAGTCTTCAGCCTTGTTCCCCACAGCAATGTGCTGCAGGGTAAGGAAAACTGGATGTCTGGCTTCAAGATGTTCAGGAGTACCAGAAAAGGGTTTCTTCTCTATTCTGAGCACTGACAACCAACAAAGCACACCTCATGCTGGAGGAAAAAGAAGATGCCATGATTCACTGTTATGAAGCATTAGACAGCATCTGTCAGTGGCAAAAATACCAGCTTGTCTGGGTTGGGAGGATGTAGTAAATCCCCCTAATTCCCTATTTCCCTTCAAGAGGCACTGATGCCTCCTGCATCCCCAAGTTTCAGATCCAGCGCAGGAGCCACTGCTTTTCCCTCAGCCCTGCCAGCTTTGGGGAGGCCCCATAATAAACTTTTCCAGCCTCCTCCAGCAGCACTTATACAAGGGATAACCCTCTGCTCACCTGGGAGCTTGAACTCCAGTGTGGTCCTTCCTGATGCTTCCTCTGGGAGTTTGTACTCAATGGCTGTGTGTCCTGGGTTCAGCAGTAGCAGTCAATTTTTCTCCTTCTTGGTAGCTGGTGCAGCGCTGTGTTTTGACTTCAGCCTGGGAACAGTGCTGATAACACCAATGTTTTCAGTTGTTGCTAAGTAATATTTACCCTGACCAAGGACTTTGTGAGGCTCATGCTGTGCCAGAGAGGAGGGGAAGCCAGGGGGAAGCAGAGACAGGACACCTGACCCAAGCTAGCCAAAGAGGTATTCCATACCACAGCACATCATGCCCGGGGTGGGGGGTAACTGGGAGTTACCCGGAAGGACACGGGCTTCTGGGTCAGACTCGTTTCTCGGCAGGTGGTATTGTATTCTCCTCCCTTGTTATTTTCTCTTATCATTGTTGTAGTTGGTGGTAACGGTGGTGATCTGTGTTGTACATTGGTTGCTGGACTATTCTTGTCTCAACCCATGGGAGTTGCACCCTTTCAATTCTCCTCCCTGTCCCTTAGGGAGCAGGGAAGGGGAGAGCCCGCGGGGGAGGGGGGGGGGGTGGGTGGGGGGTGGAGGGGTCTCGATTGCTTCCAGCCAGGCACCACTTACTGGGAGTGAGTGAACAAGCTAACTGGCTAGGGTTTACACCATGACACTGTGTCAGCACCGCCAGCAATTTCCACAGAGTGATCTTCTGTAGCCACCTGTCCTGGGTTCAGCAGTAGCAGTCATTTTTCTCCTTCCTGGTAGCTGGTGCAGTGCAGTGTTTTGACTTCCAGCCTGGGAACAGTGCTGGTGATACCGATGTTTTCGGTTGTTGCTAAGTGATGTTTACCCTGACCAAGGACTTTGTGAGGTTCATGCTGTGCCAGGGAGGAGGGGAAGCCGGGAGGAAGCAGAGATAGGGCACCTGACCCGGGCTAGCCAGGGAGGTATTCCATACCACAGCACATCATGCCCGGGGTGGGGGGTAACTGGGAGTTACCCGGAAGGACACGGGCTTCCGAGTGGGACTCGTTTCTTGGCCGGTGGTATCGTATTCTCTTCCCTTGTTATTCTCTCTCATCATTGTTGTTGTTGGTAGTAGCGGTGGTGATTTGTGTTGTACATTGGTTGCTGGACTGTTCTTGTCTCAACCCGTGGGAGTTGCACTCTTTCGATCCTCCTCCCTGTTCCTCTGGGAGCAGGGAAGGGGAGAGCCCCGGGGGGCAGGGGGGGGGGGGCTCGATTGCTCTCAGCCCGGCACCACTCACTGGGAGTGAGTGAGCAAGCTGCCTGGTTAGGGTTTAAACCATGACACCACCCAAAGCTTGCTTTCTAAAACGGAGAAACAAAATCATCATGCTGGCTGCAGCTGCCAATAAGAAGATGCTGGAGAGGAAGGCTGGCCTGAGAGGCCCACTGAAAGAGAAGGGAGAAAGAGGGTGCTAAGAGGACAAAGACCCAATAAGGGATGCTGTAACTGGGTGTGTGGGAGGAGGGAAAGAACAAATCCACACACCCTTATTTGAACTGTGGCAGTGAATCACCTGGGTGCTGCTGGACAGGGAAGCAGCAGAGGAGCCTGGGGGACCAAGGGGCTTGAACATAAGTGTCACACATAAGTGACAAAAACAGCACATCACTTTGGAGGCTGTGAATAAATGTCTTAGCTCAGAGAGACTGCAGAGCCTGAGTGGGTTTCACAAACAGTTGCCATCTCAGGTCTTTGCTGTGGTTACTAACCCAAACCCACACAACACAGTCCTGAACATCCGTTGTGATTACACCCAGCAATTATTCAATTTAGCAGTGAACACATCAGGAGAGGAGAGCTGTGGTGCTGCCTGCAGCTCTGCCCCCCTAGCAGGGTACATGGCTGCTCCTGGTTTGAGACCCCCTTCCAGCTGCACACCACCTCTTGCTAACACCTTTCCTACTCCTCCAGCAACAGAAAGGCTGTGAACCAGTCTCTTCAAAGGGCCTCTAGCTACCTGTGTTTCTCCTCAGCTGAGATACCACCTCTGCCAGATGAGGCCAGCAGTCAGGGGAAGAGGTACACACAGGTATCTACCTGTGGGTAAATAGAAATGACTTGGCATGAGACACCATCAGGATTTTAAGTGAACGTAGGCTGAGTTTCCATTCTTACATTTTCCTTTCTACCAGCTGAGCAGCAGGATGCCCTGTGCCATGGAGGACAGGGGCAGCCAAGCTCTCTTAAGCTCATTTCCTGGGTGCCAGTTCAAGTACACACACTGAGATGTCCCTGCAGAGCATCTCAGCCCCTGCCCTCAGCCACAGGCTCAGCAGGGTGCTCTTCTCTGCAGCACTTCCCCAAGGGATGTGATGGCAGCAGGTTATGGAGAGGGACTGTGGACCAGGAGGGAGCTGTGGCTTCTCCTACAGGGACTGGTGGGGAAGGGAGACACCACAGAATGAAGTCCACTCATGTCCCCTTTCTTCAAGCATTTCTTCTCAAAACTCGTGCAATCCACTTCAGAGACCATCAGTCTCTTTCTTGAGACTGGTCAATGCAAAATATCCCAACTGATGACTCCTGACACCCTGTCTGCCAACAAAACCTCCCTGCTCACATCCACTTATGTTGCTCATTTCTCTTTGCACCCTATTGCTCTTCCTCCCTCTTCTCTCCACACTGCATACACACTTTTTCACCAAAAGGTTGACAGTTTCCTCCACAATGGGACTTGCACAAGCCCCAGTACCTGCTTACTACCTCACTTCAGCAGAGACGTCCACTGGGAGGTCTAGGAGATTGCCACTCCCAAGGGATCAGCAAAGTGCTGCCCTGTGTTTCACAGCGCACATTTGCTGCTCTGAAGAAATAAGTAAGGGCAAAAAGCAGAAAAGATGGGAAAGCAATCACCATAATTAGAAAGCTATGCAAATTCAATCAGATCAACACACATCGTGATCAAGCAGGCTTGAGTGCACTTACGAACCAGATGCAAGTTGGTATCTTCGGACTTCAGCATTTAAAAGCATACCCAGCCCACAGCCAGCTCTAAGGAAGCACAAAACACCAGAGAGGGACACTGGGCATAGTCCTGGGCAGCCTACTCTAGGTGGCCTTGCTTCAACAGGGGCCTTGGAGCAGATGACCTCCAGATGTCCCTGCCAACCTCAGCTACCGTGTTTCTCTGACAGGTGAGCTGATCACGCTGGGAAAAGCAAGAGATTTGGCTCTTAACTTCAGCTGCTCAGTACAGAGGAATATAACACAGCAGCCTCCTGATGGCCAGGAGCTTTATTCAGGGACACAAAAGGGAGGGCTGACACTGTGGCTTGAGTATGGCCTGTCCTGACACCCGCAGGGACAGAAAATAGTTGAGAAGCAAAAGCTACTAGAGCTCAGAGAGAAGCCACAGGAACTGCTGGGGTAAGCACTTGACTTTGATGAGGAAAATTGCTGTTACATTCTCAGAGATCACCTCAAGAGGAAGCAGAGTACTTGCCATGAATCTAGCTTTGTTTCACCCCCAGCTCTCCTCTTGCTACCACTAAAGATCAATTACCAAAAAGGGCAAAGCAGCTGCCTCCATGTTCCTTTGGGACAGAAAGACATGCTTTCCATTTCTGTTTAATTAACTGAGAGTCTCTCACTGCTGGAGCCAGGGGAAGAGACTGTGGACATGGCTGTGCCTCATCCCATTGCTTCTAGAGCCGGCCTCCTTCCCAGAATTACTTCTCTCCCTTCCTAAGTTTCCTTTGCTGGCTCACGCTGCCTGAGACAGCACTAGAGCCAGCAGCCACCTCCCACTGTGCATTGTGCCCTCCCAGTTATCAACATCTTTAATGGCATTGCAGCTGCAATACCTTTGGAGCCAAATGTAGTATCTCTGCTGCTACTGTCTCCTCTGTGCAGATGCTCTACAATTACACCTGCTTATCTTTAGTGCCATTTAACCACTAACATGCACTCACAGACACTATCTGTTGTCACCCCCAGCCTCAGTACACCCCACAGACCTCCTGGCCCTGGGTGGCTGTAGCTCAGGTGTAACACAGAGCGTCCCAGCATCCAGCTCTGCAGGGGCAAGGAAAGAGCAGCAGTGGAGCAGGAGGGAGAGCACCACGGAAACAAACCTGAAAAGGGAAGGAAATGTTACCAGCTTATGATACCGCAAATCCATGAATTGTAAAAAAAACAAAACAAAACAAAAAACCCACAGAAAATACATAATTTCAGTTCACTGGGTTGCAATTCTGAAAATCCAAGGATTAGAGGAAGGAGCACTTAACGCACAAAGTTAAAAGAACTCTCCTTTGCTGGCAGAACAGACAAGAGGGGAATAAAACCCAAACACATGTTCTCACACCCGCCTCCACAGGCTTAGAGGCTTTGGCAGGAATACCTCCAGTTCCTCCAGCAGCCCCATCCGTGAGCACAGCAAGCTGACACCATGCAGCAGGGAGCAAGCACAGGGAGGGTGGGCTGGAGGGCCCTTTATACTTGGCATAATCTGCAAATAAATAGGCATTTTCACTCCCCAACACCAAATTCGCCACAAAGAGTATTGTCAGGAGCTGTGGGTGCTGAGGAAGAAACAGGACAGGCAGCACCGTCTTTTGCAGCCCTGGGAGGTGACTCTGCTAGGGACACCCCAGCCATCACTGGTCCTGGTTGCCCCAATCATGTTTGATGGATTTGAAGTTGCAGAAGAGGAGACCTCTGCTGAAGAAGCACCTGAGGCGCTGCTTACCTGGCAGCACCACCTTTATTCCCACAGGATTGGACTTGGTGGGGGCTGCTGGTGGCCCCAACAGCAGGGTGTTCTTCCTCCAGACCTCCACCTCACACAGGTATGACCTGTTGGCACTGTGGATGGGCAGCCTGAAGGAGATGTCAGCCTTCGTCAACAGAGCTTTCCCCTGGAAGTGTGGCTGCACAGTCCCACAGGCCATGGTGCTGTGGTCCAGCTACTGATAGTGGCCACCGGACAGGCTGGGCTGGAAGAACCACCTCACAGACACTGGCACCTCCCTAAGGGTATAGTTAGTGCTCACTTGGCAGATGAGTTCAAAACTCTGCCCATATCTGACAGTGACAGTTCGGCTTCTCAGCATGGCGTACAGACCAAGACCTACTCGGGAAGAGAGAGCCTTTGGCACCACGACAGAAATCCTGCCCCATGTCACCCCTCTTCCTATGCAGGACATCCCCACTGCCTCAGCCACCTCAGCCCCATGGCAGCCACCACTCCTGCTGCTCCTCTGCCAGTGCCACTGTCCCATGGGTTGTCCTGTGTTCTTCCAGCCCCACACCGACCCTCCCTCTCTCCTGCCTCACCCCCTGCTCTCCCACAACCCGGGTAACCCTGAGTACCCTCTCTTCCAGGCTCCCCAGTCCCATCCTGCAAGAGGGAGCCAGGGATCCTCTGCTGATGCTGCTGCCCTGTTTGGACCAACCAGTGCGCTTGGACGTGCAGCCCAGCAATAAGAAAGGAAAACCACCCTAAATCACAGCCAAAAGCTGCCTCTCCATAAAGGCACACATTCCAGCAATCAAAAGAAACGCTGTGGGCATTGTATGCCAGGGAGGTTAGCATGCAGGGAGGTTAGCAGCTCTGTGCACAGACAGGAGGGCAGGAGAAGAAATGCGATGACTGCACCAGGGGTGTCTCTCTGACAAAGGCCACCATATGACACAGCAAGTGCATTTGTTGAGCTTAACTACTAGAAGTAATTATGCTGCTAGAACAGATATTTTGTATTTTAAGCTAAGGGACAGTCAGAAAGACCTCCTGAGCAAGCCACTGTCTTTGAGGTCTCTGCATTTTAGCTGTTCTGTCCCAGTTATCCCTCTGAAAACATGTCACATGGAGGACTTAAGCACTCTGCTAGAAATGGGGGTAATTGAAGCATGCCATGGCCAAGTGATCAGCCCCAGGTCATCCTGCAACAGCAGCAGTGGAGCTTAGAGCACAGCAGACTTCTGTCCACCCGCTTCTCCAGCCTTGCCTCCAGCACATACAGCTTGAAAGCCCAGAAATAGGACTGGCCTAACCCTCCCATGGAGCTGACACTGCTGTCTCCCGCTCCTTTATCCAGCTCTGGCTTCGGGACTACTCTGTCACTTAACAGCCATACTGCCCGCCGTCATCCTCATCTAACATGCTGGGGATCACCAGGGTGAAGGCACCAGAGTTCGCTTTCTCCAGCCGGAGGCTCCCCGGAATCCTGCTGTCCTGGTAGGTGCTGCCCAGGCTCAGGGTGCCATCTTGCTCCATGGTGGTCACCAGCAACCAAGGACCTGGGTGCTGCAGTGGCAGACACCCCCACTACACCAACATAGGGCTGATGGTTCCTTGCACCTCACAAAGCAGGATCAGGGCACCTCCTGCCATGACCTGCAGCGTGCTAGTAGACATGGACAGGCACAATTGGCTCTCTGCAAACAACAGTTACCAACTTGGAGGGGAAGTTGTTGTGCTCCTCAGAGAAAGCCAGAGATACTGCAGCATTGAATGGAGAGACTAGATAAATCTCGATAATAGAAACAGAAAGGAGTGCCTTTCTTGGGACACGGATACATAAAGAAATGTTTATGAAATAGTCTCAACAGGCATCTCCTGATACATTAGAATTGTCATCATACAGCTATGACAAGAAAACCAAGAGTCTACTGCACATCTCTCAGAGTGGTTTCTTACAAGCAATCCCTCCAAAACCATGAAATCACCCTGATGGAAATAGCAACTATTCCCCTCATCCAGAAGTACCTGCTCTGCTGGGTGCATCCCATGATCCTCAGAACAGCAACAGGCATTGCTCACAATTTTCCAAAGACACAGGGAGACCAAACCTCTTCAAAACTCTGTACCTATTTGCCCCAAAACATTGCAAAGAGCCTAAGCTATAGATTTACACTTTATTGAGAGCTGCAGCATTTGTCATGCTAATGTTTGCCAGAAGCAAGTGCTTTTTACACTATTATCTACCAAAACCTATGGCACATTTGCGATTTTGCTGTAAACAGCATGTGTGTTGCCCCTACCAAGATAAGGCCAGACTTGAAGTGTTCCCTAGTCAGGGATTATTGCAGGCTTTACCCAGAAGAGCAGCCACTAGGATTTACCAACCTCTCTGCTTCACATTCACTTGGATGCCTGATGACAGAACAGTGTGGATGCTGTGAAAGTCTCCAGGAGTCTTCACCTCCGAAACAGAGCAGCAGTATGTCCCATTGTCCTTCAGCCCCACCTCATAGATAGTGAGGACATAAACCATATTGCTTTGCTTGAATGCTTGGAGCTGCCCCAGCTTCTCTCTCTCTCCTCATATTCTGCCTCCAAGACAATACCCCATGGCGGTCAGCCTTGGCCACTTCCATGCTGTTGAGGAGTCAAAGCACTTGAAAGTGCCTGCTGTTGCTCTTCTCAGATCCCACCAAGCAATTTATCTGCAAGGCATCACCTTCAGAAAGGGAGCTTTCAGCAACAGCAATGTCCATGGAGATGTTTCTACCTGTGGGTAGTCAAAAGCAAAGAGTGTGCTAGGGGGCCCTGCTCATGCTTTTCTCCTGCCTGGCAGCACTGATGGCCGCGCAGAGGGAAATGTGAGGGAATTCTCTGCTGAAACAGTTTTCATAAGAAAAGTCATCAGGATGGAAAACTTTGCCCATGGAGAGACAGCTGCCAGGCACTAACCAGCAATCTCAGGTGGAGGAGGCACCACAGTCCAGTGGAGCTAAGCTCCCCTCTTTACAGCAGAGCACCCCCCAAGATGGCCTTGGGCCACAGCCACCCCTGGCTCAGCTCAGGCATCCTAACCCAGAGGCATCAGTTTTTTGGGGGGAGCTGCTCTGTCTCACTTCCTGGAGCTCTTCTGTTTCATGTGACAAATATCCCTTAAGCCGGAAAGGGGCACAGAGGGGCTTTACCACTCAGTGGTGTTTTTAATTCTGCTGTCTGCAGAAAAGGTGAGTGGAGGTCTGGCACTCAAGTTGCTTGTCTGAATCTGATGCTGGTGGTCCCACACGCTGCAGCCCTCACTGGCTGCTGCAGGATGTGGGCAACAGATGCTCCCCAAGATAGAGAGGTTTTGGGGTAGTTCCACAGGAAGCAGAAATATCAAGATTGTAACAGCACACGGAAGTTGGAGGAAAGCAAGAGGAGGTGGAGATCATCTCCTAGGTTCCTGCCCTGTCCCTCATACCGACAAGCAGCAGACGTTGAGCAAAGAGGGTAGCACCATGGGGAGCACAAAGCCACCTTCTCCTTGGCAGACCCTCTTGGTCAGTCAGCTCCACCTGAAGTAAAGACCCAGTCTCTGGGTCCTATGATACATCTTACCTTTCTCACAGGGCCTCAAAGCCTCTGCCACTAATGCGCTCTGGTTCCCAGCACTGGTCTGGCTGAGGAGTGGATGCAGGCAGAGACCCACAGGGTGCCCCAAAACCTTGTGCCGTGACCCCACACAGCAGTGGCACAGCCAAAAACAGGGGTAGGGCTGAGCTCAGACTCCATGGGCAGGCAGTTTGGTCCACAACACTCCATCTCCTTGGGTCACTGTAGGGTCCCCCATGTCTAACAAGGGCAAGGCTATGTGCTGTAGCTTGGAGGTAAAACAGAGCAGCTCCCAGAGTGCCACTGCAAGGGCTTGAGTAATTTATTGAAAGCAGAGTACCCTGTGAATTTAAACACTGGTTCATAAACAGTTTGCAAACAGGAATCCTAGCCACTGCAGATGTGTTTTGCATTCCCAAATATTTGTTGGAAAGTTTATAGAAACCAGTGGAGTGGTTAGCCATGGTCAGAGTGGTCACTGGCTGCCGCTGAGGTGGGATGCTCAGCCCTGCAGGCTGGCCTCTCCCATGGGACCATGCTGACAGGATGGAAGGCTCATACGTCCGTTGCTATTTACCCCCCAGCAATACCAGCAGCTCTAATACAACCACCATGTTGTCCTCTTCCCACTATCGCCTGCCTTATACCCTTAACAGCTACCACAGGGCAAATAGTAAACTCTGACAAGGTTTCTCTACTTCTAAACAATCCTGTGGCACTGGTACCCAAAGCCACACTGGTCATGATGAACCCTCTTGAATAAGCGGATGGATGCAGGAAAGCACACTGATTGCTATTGCTCTCCAGGCAGCAGCAGACGTGGAAAGCCATTGCTGCAAACAGCGTGCAATAAGGGGAATAAAGCTGTGCCAGGTTTTAGGAACCAGACTGTTGACAGTGTGAGACTGCACTTTGCTTCCCTCCCCCAGTACCTTGCCTTCCTGAGTCACAGACAGGATGCTTGGTCCTTCCCTTTCTTTGGTTTCCTGCTCTGCCTCACCACCCTACCATGAGACACTGGTTTCCCTCCTTGCCCCAGCTCTGCAGCCTCCTTCATCTTCCCTGAGGCATGAGAACAGGGTACACCACATCCCCAGGCAGGTTTTCAGTGAAAGACTTGCTCCTGTTTTACTGCATATGTTAAAGGGTGTCAACTAGATGCAGACTTGTCTTGGCTGCTTTAAGGTAAAACTTACTTGTGAGAAAGGGAGTTTTTCCCTTCAACTGGGCACAGCTACACACCCACAGCTGAGGGAAGAGCAGGGAAACAACTGCAGCCAGCAAAAGGCATGTGTTCAGATGAGTGGCAGCGAACACACTGTAACCATCCCAGGGCAGTGTGGAGAGAGGGATTTTCTTATTGGCCCTGGGAGATGCAGCACAGAGTCTGGAGATGCCAGGAGCCATAGAGTCATAGGATAGTTTGGTTTGGAAGGGACCTTCAAAACTCATCCAGTCCAACCACCCTGCAGTGAGCAGGGACATCTTCAACTAGATGAGGTTGCCCAGAACCACGGAACCAGAGCCATGGGAAGCTGCTGGGCAGAGGGAACACGAGGTGCCTGGCAAAGACTGGTGTTTGGGAGGACAGGCAGCACTTGCAAAAGGCTGGTTTTAAGCTTTCCTATTTTAATCCACCTTACACATGGTAGCAAATCTAAGTCTCCTCCTTCTAAATACTTCATATTACATTTTCCTAAAGCATAAGACAGGAGTTAGGTGCACCTTCTTCAAAGCACAGTCTGACCCACAGTTCCATTACTACCATATGTGAACTACTAGGAAGGGACGCATAGATGGTCTAATAAACAGCAACACCAGTTTCTCTGAAAGCCAGTAGACTGGTGACAGCATGAACAGACAAGGCTACTGCTATAGAGCCTTAAATGCACAAAGGAGTTAGAATGAACATGTGAGCTTACAAGGACCTTACCCTGGCTCATGATCACCAGCAATGTCCTCCCAGATATCCTTCCACATCCCATCAGGATCCTCAATCCACTCAGCTTTCTCGCAATACAGTTGCCCTTGGTCAGACAGCTCCGCTCCTTCAATGGAGAGCTTGTATGTGGTGTTCCCAATCTTATTCAGCTGCACGTTTCCCACCAGAGCCCTCTGCGTGTAAGAAGGCCCTGGCTTCAAGATAAAGTCCTTGGAGAGGGTGAGGACCTCCTCAGAGCAGTACTCTCCTGCTCCATGAAGATGGTACCAACCAATAGAGAGATGTGTGCTGGGCAGTGAGCTTGGACACCTCTCAGGTGAGCTCCACCTCATCCCCTTCGGTGCAGGTGAGGACCTGCGGTGCCAGGGAAGCACAGAGGGTGTCTGCAATCACTGAGCATGGGGAAGAAACAGAGAGCAGATGGTCAGAGGGAAAATTGTCTCTGGGCCTCAATGGGCAACGTGCCAGACACTACAAAACTGTGGTCAAGCCCTAATGAATCAGTCTGGGCTGCATCAAAAGGAGCGTGACCAGCAGGTCGAAGGAGGTGATCCTGCCCCTTTACTCTGCTCTTGTGAGACCTCACCTGGAGTATTGTGTGCAGTTCTGATGTCCTCAACATAAAAAGGACATGGAACTGTTGGAACAAGTCCAGAGAAGGGCCACGAGGATGATCAGGGGACTGGAGCACCTCCTGTATGAAGATAGGCTGACAAAGTTGGGGCTGCTCAGCCTGGAGAAGAGAAGGCTGCGTGGAGACCTCATGGCAGCCTTCCAGTATCTGAAGGGGGCCTATAGGGGTGCTGGGGAGGGACTCTTCATTAGGGACTGTAGTGACAGGACAAGGGGTAATGGGTTAAAACTTAAACAGGGGAAGTTTAGATTGGATATAAGGAGGAAATTCTTTCCTGTTAGGGTGGTGAGGCACTGGAATGGGTTGCCCAAGGAAGTTGTGAATGCTCTGTCCCTGGCAGTGTTCAAGACCAGGTTGGACGAGGCCTTGGGTGATATGGTTCAGTGTGAGGTGTCCCTGCCCATGGCAGGGGGGGTTGGAACTTCAGGTCCTTTCCAACCCTATTCTATGATTCTATGAATCTGACAGCATAGGAGAAATATCTTTCGTAGTTGATTGACAAGGCTTTCATCAGCTGATGCAAAGGCATGTGAAGTGCTTAAAATCTCAGCAAGCAAGAAAGCACAATGAAGCTCTTTGCAGTACCCTCTTTAGTCAAACTATGACCAGTACTAATTAGGCAACCCCAAAGAGATTAACATCCAGCCCCTCACAATCCCAAGTGCAGACTGGTACACCACTAGCATAAAGAGAATACAGGGATGAATACCAAGGGGAATTACTACTATAGCATCAAAGAATACCGGGTTGGAAGAGACCTGTCATGGTTTAAGCTCAGCCGTAAATCACGCAGTCGCTCTCTCACTCCCCCCACCCCCTTCCTTCCCCTGCTCCCTGAGGGATAAGGAGGAGAATCAAAAGAATGTAACTCCCACGGGTTGAGATAAGAACAGTCCAGTAACTAAGGTATAACACAAACCACTACTGCTACCACCAATAAAATAATGATAAGGGAAATAACAAGGGAAGAGAATACAATCGCTCACCACCCACCGACCGATACCCAGCCCAACCTGAGCAGTGATCTAGCCCTTCTGGGTAACTGCCCCCAGTTTATATAGTGGGCATGACGTGCTGTGGTATGGAATACCTCTTTGGTTAGCCTGGGTCAGGTGTCTGTCTCTGCTTCCTTCCAGCTTCCCCTCCTCCCCAGCAGAGCATGAGACTCACAAAGTCCTTGGCCAGACCAAACATTTGAGCAGTAACTAAAAACATCAGTGTTATCAGCTCTGTTCCCAGGCCGAAAGTCAATACCACAGCACTGCACCAGCTACTAAGATGGAGAAAAAATGACTGCTACTGCTGAACCCAGGACAGTACCTACCCCTTATTCCATACCATTCACGTCATGCTCAGATCCCACATTTTCAAGATACCATCACTCTTATCTCAGTGCACTCTTATCTTAGTGCATGGACCAATCCCTATAAAGCTGCTGAATCCATCTGGTCCATGATGTCAGGCTGCACCTCTTGTAACAATCGTTCAGAGCAGGAGAGGCTGTGTGCAGTGTTCACACTCGTGAATAACCTGGGCAATAGCGTCTGTTACCAAGTCCACCCCTTGATCATGATTCCGTCTTTATGTTGCATGTCTGCTGCGATGGCCTGAAGTGTCATGGGCCCACCAGGTTCAAAATAATTCACCATCCCCTTCAGCAGTTTCTGCAGCTTGTTGATTGGGACTCCATACAGCTGCCTTCCATCTCCAATGCTTCCAAAGCACGGGAGGGGCCCCGTGGACTACATACTCACCCGTACTGTCCCACACACCCTGCCACTCATGACTGTCCAGCCTTGGGGAAAACCTCTTGGTCCTCTGTCCTGGGTTCAGCAGTAGCAGTCAGTTTTTCTCCTTCTTGGTAGCTGGTGCAGCGCTGTGTTTTGACTTCCAGCCTGGGAACAGTGCTGATTAACACCGATGTTTTCAGTTGTTGCTCAGTAATGTTTACCCTGACCAAGGACTTTGTGAGGCTCATGCTCTGCCAGGGAGGAGGGGAAGCCAGGAGGAAGCAGAGACAGGACACCTGACCCAAACTGACCAAAGAGGTATTCCATACCACAGCACATCATGCCCGGGGGGTAACTGGGAGTTACCCGGAAAAACATGGGGTCTTCTGGGTGGGACTTGATTTTCGGCGGGTGGTATCATATTCTCTTCCCTTGTTATTTTCTCTTATCGTTGTTGTTGGTGGTAGCGGTGGTGACTTGTGCTGTACACTGCTTGTTGGACTGTTCTTGTCTCAACCCATGGGAGTTGCATTCTTTTGATTCTCCTCCCCATCCCTCTGGGAGCGGGGAAGGGGAGAGTCCCTGGCGGGGGGGGGGACGCAGGCCTCAATTGCTTCCAGCCTGACACCAATCACTGGGAGTGAGTGAACAAGCTGTCTGGCTAGGTTTAAACCACGACAGTCCTCCTATATCATCGTCTAACCCTAGACAAGACCCAAACCCAACTCTGCTTAACTTTCGAGATCAGACAAAATGGTCATGGATAAAACACACTGTATCAACATGCTGATCCCCATCACAGTCAGCAGGCAGGTCCCAGGGGTAGCCAAAGGCCATTCAAAACCTTCAGAACTCTCTAACGATGCTGCTGTACTTGCCACTGGGGCTGGTGTAGCTGCTGTGCTTGCCGGCTCTCCCACCACCAGCTTCTCTTTTTCCGAGTCCAGATCTTCCTCCTCTGCCTTGCTGGGAAAGGCTGCATGGTCTCCTGCATCCTCCACTTGTCCCGGGTGCCCGAGGCTGGACTCAGCTGAGGCAGGTCCAAAGGTGGTACCTTGCTCTCTGCATCCTCCTGGGGCTCGGACTTGTGGGGCTCAGCAGGTGGTTGCTGGGGGATGCTCTCAGCTGCCACGGGGCTGGGCTCAGCTGCAGGGCTCGGCTCCTCCGCTGCCTCCTCCCGCTGCTAGGCAGCCGCCACCTTCCCCTTCTCAACCGCCCTGACCTCCTCCACTGGCAGCTGCCCCCTCCCAGCCTCCTGGTCCCCGGGGCCGCTCTCCCGGGCCACTTTGGCCACCGCTGGCTCCCGGGGCCGCTCCCCCTCAGCTCCTTGCAGCCTCACAAAGACAGAGGCGAGGATGGGGGCCAGGCCGGTGAAGAGCAGCCGGACGGCCAGGTACAAGTCCACCGCCACGTCCGTCCCGCCCTGCTGCTGGAGCCCACCCGTATTACAAGTCATTGCCATGAAGTACAGTGAAACAAGAACCTTAGCCCAAGGTCCCCAGCCAATAAATACTAACACAGCAAATACCGGCTGTAAGTAAGGTACGACATGCTGAAACTGTGAGATCAAGAGCAACAACTTTGAGAGCCAATAAATCAGCTTTGTGACGAGTGACTATTAATCAGAAACACTTAATGCTTTTCATGAACATGATTAGACACACTCTGGTCAGATCTGTCGTTATCTCAACCCTTTGTGCCCCACATTGGGCCTGTCGTGGTTTAAGCTCAGCTGTAAATCACGCAGTTGCTCTCTCACTCCCCCCACCCCCTTCCTTTCCCTGCTCCCAGAGGGATGGGGAGGAGAATCAAAAGAATGTAACTCCCACAGGTTGAGAAAAGAACAGTCCAGTAACTGAGGTATAACACAAAACCACTGCTGCTGCCACCAATAATAATAATGATGATAAGGGAAAATAACAAGGGAAGAGAATACAATCGCTCACCACCCACTGACTGATAATACTCAGCCCGACCCCGGCAGTGATCTAGCCCTTCTGGGTAACTGCCCCCAGTTTATATAGTGGGTATGACATGCTGTGGTATGGAATACCTCTTTGGCTAGTTTGTGTCAGGTGTCCTGTCTCTGCTTCCTCCCAGCTTCCCCTGCTCCCGGGCAGAGCATGAGACTCAGAATGTCCTTGAACGTTTGAGCAGTAACTAAAAACATCGGTGCTATCAGCACTGTTCCCAGGTCGGAAGTCAAAAACACAGCACCACACCAACTACTAAGAAGGACTAAAAATGACTGCTACTGCTGAACCCAGAACAAGACCTCAAGGATCATCTGGACCAGCCTTTCAGGCAAAGCATGACATAGATGAGATGTCCCAGCACCCTGTCCAGCTCAATATTAGAAACTTTCAACACTGTGGAGTCCATCACTTTCATGGGGAGATTATTCCAATGGCTGATTGTTCTCATTGTGACCATGCCATCATGTGACTCCATGGGCTCACAGTAGAGCCTTTCCCTTTGCCTCTTCCCCCTATTACCTTCCCCCTTCCCTGCTGCTTCCCTCTATATGTGGGTATCATGCTTGGGTCAAGTCCTACACCCTGACCTGAGAGTACATCAACAGCTAACGTACTGAGCCTGAAAACTCCTGTCTTCTTAAGTGCTTAGCTGAGAAATGCTGTGGCTGAGTCAGGAGCTGAAGTTAAATGTCGGGCCATGGGACAGCAGAGGCTTCCTCTCTCTTCCCCTTGCCCTGGCTGGGAGGCAAAGGCCAGAGCAACCTGCAAGGGGACATGACCAGGGGTATGGCCAGCAGTTAGCAGCAATCCCACAGTGGGAAGAGTAATAAAATTTTTGTCCCCTGGTCCCATTAACCACCCCTTTTCCCAGCTGCCCCTCTGTCAGAGACCCAGAGACAAGCACTTCTTGTGCTCTTGGAGGCAGTGGAAACCTGACTGTGCCCCTGCCCAGCAGCAAGCAGGGCTCTCTTTCAGGACCCACCTGGGAGGTTCATCTTGGCGCTGTAACTCCCAAAGTACCTCTCGTCAGTGTTGGGTGTGTGGCACTCGTACTCGCCAGCATCCCGGTCCTGCAGGTCGGTGATGTGCAGCAGGACGGCGTCCCCCTGCACCCGCTCCACGTAGATCCCACGGCTGCGCACGCGTTGGGTGTAGATGGCGTAGGGGAAGGATGGGTCGACGGTGCTGACGATCTGCACCTCCCGCTCAGGGGCCGAGGGCAGGTAGATGGACCACTGGAATTTCTGCTCCGACGGGCCCTGGTAGCCGCTCACCTTGCACCACAACGTGATGTGGGAACCCTAATGAGGTAGAAGGGCCCCTTCTTAACAGTCAACAGCTGCTGGCCAGTGCTCAAGCCTGCTGGCAAACAGTCAGCACACCGCAAGGGCTGCACACTCAAAACAGTAGTGGGTCTGGATGTGCAAGAGATCACAACTGAAAAGAATTGCTGCGTAATCTCATTCTTTGAAGCATGAAGTCCAAGGGACGTCACACCCCTTGCGACTGCAAGAACAAGTCCTGTTACAACAGATCTCTAAACTTTCCTGTCTCTACCACACTGGAATTCAAATGACAGATCAGATCACTACGGCTGGAAGGTTATCAAGCCTGCTTGTGGCAGGAGAGCATCTCTTAGCCAGCAACCAGGTAGAGAACACCGGAAGAAGCTTGTGGAGTGTTACAATTCAGAAGGCAAAGCACTCAGGTCCTGCACAGCAGGGGGGATAAGGGAGCAGTTGCCAAAGCTGACCACTGCAAGGGAAGGAGATGCAATGCAGAAGCCAAGGGATGTGTGTAGCAGAGGGAACCGGCAGGCTGGGTGCTGCAGAGGTGCTCCATGGACAGAAACCAGGGAGGATGCGGGAGATGGGGCCAGCAAGGCAGAGGGCACCAGGAGAACCCAAGGGCTTCCCTCTGTTTCTGCCTGAAGAGGCTTTGGTGATGGCCACCCATGCACCCTCCCCTCCTGCAGAGCTCCCAGTGGTGACAATTGCTCTGTTTCAATGCCCAACAGGCACACCAAGCAAAACGCCCACTGGATGTGGGCACTGAGTCAAAAACCAGCCACAGAGACCAGCTCAGGGAAGAGAGTTGGTGGCAGCACAGCCTAAGGAACCCTCAGAAACCCCCTCCCAAGGGAAGGGGAGATGAAGTAGCCCCCTCCATGCTCCCCACAGCCACACAACAGGGGTGCTCATGTCCCTTCACCAAACCCCCGGGAGGGTCCAGGCTATTGCTTTGCAGTGAAAGCACACTGCCGAAAGCAGACCATGCCACCGCAGCTCTTCCCATGACCATGGAGTCAGAGCAGTGCTGGCTGAGCCACCCACCTGCAAATGTCTCATCTGTACTGAGGGGGGGCTTTATATCCCCCCCCTACCCCAGGAAAGCTGCCACCACCACTAGGCAGGACACTCACCCAGGAGGAGGAAGGCGGCTGGCAGGCACTGCCCCAGCCCCATGGAAAACAGCTCTGCTTGTGTCTGCTTCCAGAGAGGCGGTGGAAGGCTCTCACACAGTGGTGACAGCAACTCTTCTGTTTTGAAAGTATCTAGGAGAAAGCTGCCTTGTGGTGATGGTTTCCTCTGTTCCTCTGCTCAAAAATGCCGTTGCACCCAGTTGGGAAGATGGGTGCAACGTAACATGCCTGTGGGAGGTGACACTGAGCACCCCAGCCCCATGCTGCAAGGGTGATTGATGCCCGAGGCTGCTGCTGCCTGGTGCCCAGTGGCTTTGCCTTTGGACAGCAGCTCACAGGCTAACCTTCTGCCTCATGACTTCCACTTTGTTCCATGAAACAGCTCACTCCTGGCTAACAGAGAGGGTGAGGGGTCAGGCCCCAGTGAGGAACAGGGGAAGATTTCTAGGGATGAAGCTCCCCACAGCTAGTTATTTTTCCACAGCTGCAGACAGCAGCATGATGCCATAGGTACAAGTTGGGGTGGCACAGTGCTCCCCAAGGATGGCTGACCAAGCTCTGCCTCAGCGTGCAGTGGGCAACCCAAGTGGGGTGCCTCTCCCACAGAACCCTCACCAGCCTGGCTACACAGGCAGGAGACCTTCTGTCATAACAGCCATCCCAGCCCAGAAAGCCTATCAACTCTCAAAGGATCACCACGCACCAGAAGTCAGCTGGGAAAGCTCTCCTGTAAGCATATCCCATGGGTAGGCACCCATATTCAGGGGATCCTGGAGCAGCACTGCTTCCAGGGGTGGCAAGATCACAAGGAGCTGTGCTGGGAAGACGGGCCAGGAAGCTGCTGGCATAGCCCCAAAGGCAAGTGCTGTGGTTGTATCAGATGCTGTATGGCATGGGGCCAAGGACATGGTGGGAGGCTGATGGGGCACATTGTTGGCAGCCTCTAAGGCAAGGGACTCAAACCAGAGACACTCTCTGAACAGATTTGTTTGGAGCTGTTGTTTCGGTTGTGGGGTAGGTTTTTTAGTTTTTCTGTTCTTCCCCAGAAAGGATGACAGCACAAAGCATTTACCCCTGAGCCATGCTGCTCCCGCTGTGCTGCTGGGGTATCCACTGAATGACTAAATTAGCTCAGGGATTCACAAACAATAACCAACCGTAAAACAAGTCCTTTTGCTTGATCCCGTGGGACTCCTAGAGGGAATGAGGTTCATGGAACGAAAACAAACACAAGGTCCCTCCTTTCCCTGTTTAATAAACTGATTCATATGACAGCCTGAGGGGCCAGAATATAGAGGCTCCTCACTGCAAGGCTGGTGCCTCCATTAGCCAGCTCCTCACCAGCACCACGCAGCTCTCCAGAGCCAAATCCAGTCTGGGGGAATGGGCTGCTGCAGGAGGCAGAGAGGTCCCTGCAGGATATCACCTGTTCCCTGCCACCTACCCTCTCTGGAATGAAATGGAGCAGAGGAGCAGCACTTGTTCTGGGAGAAGATGGTGCAACATGGGACAGAAACGCACGTACTGGCTCCTCAGAGGTGGTGAGCAGATACAGCAGAGGCTGGGAAGCAGTGGAGTGCCCCAGCACTTCTGTTGGTGATGGGGGCCCACACCCTATGGAAGTAGGACACAGTTATAACCCTGTGAAAGGCTTCCATTCTCTGTGCAGGATGAAACCCTTCTGTTTCAGAAGAAAAGGGATGAAGGGATTTGCTTTTCAAGAGCAACCCAACTGCCAGCAGTACCCCGGGGGATGATCCCGCTGACAGAAAGCCAACCTGCTTACCACTCTGGAGGAGGGAATAGCATCTCTGCTACAGCAACAGCGTAAATGGAAAGGAAACTTGGAGTTCAACCTCAGTGAGCTTCTGACAGCCAGTGTGCAGATAAACACACACAAGGGGACAGTTTAATTCCAAGTTTGCAACTCTAATGATGCATGAGTTGCTGCTTACATTTGCAATAGAGAAATCAGGAAGGATTGCCTGGCCCAGCCCTGTCACTGGCAGTGATGATGCTCTGGAGACAAAACCAACAGCTCCTGCTCCCTTGGACTGTGCAGTCTAAAACTTACTCTCTTCCTCCCTGGGAAATCAGTGCAACCAGACATACGGCAGGACTATTAAACACACAAAGCAGGATGAAGGAAGAGGATCAGAGAATCCTTTACAAAAGATAACATTGCCATTAGAAAAATCAGGGAAGCCAAACACATAGAGAGAGAGAGATCCCTTTACCTTATTTTCCTGGGGATGACATCAGATGGGAAGTGAGCGGGAAATACGCATCTTGGACAGTTCAAAGGGTTCCTGTCTGTACCTACAAGGAGCAGAGGACTTGCTTCCTCTGAACCAGGCTTGGTGAGCTGAAGTGCTTCACTAGGGCAATGGTAATTGACTACTATTGATCTGCAGGCCCTAGCACAGCTTGGCTACCACCAGCACCTAAGCAGCAGGGTGCCACCATCTCCCACTCTAGAGCACAAGGCTGGAGGTCAGGCTGCCCATAGCACTGGCTTTGGCTTTCTTGCAGGTGATGATCCTCTTTAATTGCATGCCCCCCTACCCATTCTGTTCCTTCTGGATCCCTTTTGCAGGCATTCTTTTTTTGGATGCTGCTCAGTCACTTTGGGCCAAAGCTTCCCAGAAAAACACCCCCAAAAATGTAGCATGGAAAGTTTCCCCAAACCCAATGCAGCCAGGGTGGAGTTAGACTCTGCCCAGAAGAGCACAGCAGCAATCAGCAACATCCACAGTGACCTGGAAACCTCCTGGACAGACAAGTGCTGATCAGATGCCCCCTGGCACACTGCAAGGAGCCTGAGGAGGGATGGGTATAAGGCAGGATCACTCGATAGCAGGATAGAAATGCTACAGAAAAAGCTATTGAGGATGAAGGAGGCAACCCCATGGTCAGTGCTGGTTTTTAGGGGGAACAGGCTGCTGAGAGCCAAAAGCAATTAGGCAAACACAGGGGAGAGGCTGCAGTCAGATGCCCTGTCTCTCCATATTGCCCCCATGAGCTCCCTCATCCCATTTGGGTGCCTGACACTAGAGCACCTGTGGCTTCCTCTGCCTGCTGCCATCACATTTACTGCTGGCTTCCACGCAACACAGCAGAGACCACAGCCAAACCCACCCGCTGGAAAGTACCAACAAATCCTACCTTTCAAAGGAAAGCAGACCTCAAACCATGTCTTGGGCAAATCTGGCTTTGCACAGGAAGTGTTTTCAGCCGCTGCCAAGGTTGCTTGCTCTGGGAGAAATAAAACCCAGCTTGTTAAAGAAAGGAGTCTTCCATGAGGTTTTGACATTGCTATGCAACATCCCAAGTGAAAGCCAATTGCTCTGAGAGGAGCACAAGCTCTGTGGCCTTTGCCCAGAGCCATGGCTCTACCATCTCCTCAGCCCCATATCCAAGCCAGTCCTCAGCAATGACTCACCATCTGCATCTCTACTCACACAGACAAGCACCCTGGGGCTCCCCAAATACTGGAGCACAGGTGGCAAAAGAGCAAGAGAGTAATTTGAGGCAGCAAGGTCCCAGCAGAGGCTGAAGGGGCAAGGAGAAAACAGCCCTCTCTTCCTGGTGCCCCCTCACCCTTTGGCTTGCACAACCTGCCCTGGAGGGGAGCCCGGCTGCCCAAAGGCATTTTTGGAGAGGGAAGGCACACAGTGCCTGCTTAGTTGTTAGCAACTGGGTGCCATAGAGAGCTTCCTGAATTTCAGGCTGTTCTTGTGACCAAATGGGGAGGGGGGGGATAGTCCAGAGGTGCAGGCTACAGGTAAGCTCTACAAAAATGCCCCCTCTGCCTTTGCTTCACAGATCTCAGGAGCCATGTCCCAAGCTCAGAAATGCCATTGCCACATATCCACAGTGACTGGGGAGGGGGACAAGGACAGGGAGGGATGGAGGCTGCAGCCTTGAAAGCAAAGGGTCTGGTGCCAGGCAGGGTAAGGGGATGCAGGGAAGAGCACAGCATTAGTAGGGATAATCTGGCAGTCTTGGGGGACGTGCCAGAAGCCTACAGATAATCAGGGGAGCTGGTGCAACAGACTTTGAAGTCAGCTGTCAGGCTTGCTCAGCCCGGCTCAGACTTCAAAGGCAGCTGGTTGCTTCCCCCAGTTACGAAGCAGGAGCCGGCCGGCTTCCCAGCTTCCCTAAGGCCGCCTGGCTCAGCTGCAGTCCCCTGGGCATGCTCCTGTGGGCAGGAACCTCCTGACAGAGCACAAATGCTCCTGCTGGAGCAAGGCTCGCTTTGCAGGATGCGCATGGTCTTTCACCTTGGCCTATTTGGAGCCAAGCGTGATCTCGGTGGACAAAGATCTCCCTGGTGATGTACTGCCAAATAACCTCCTGCCAGTCACAGGGAGACCAGGCAGCCATGAGAAAGGGGGAAGCCTAGGGAAGATGAAGAAAATAATGACCTTTGCTCATGGGAGCGTGAAGAACCTCTTTTGCTACTCAACTTCTGCATGTCCTGGGCCTTCGTAGGACATGGCTCCGATGCCTGGCAAGGACACGGTCTTCATGAGCAAAACCCACAGCAGCACAGAAAGGCTGCTGTGATTGTTTTGCACTGAAAAACACAGTTTTATTGGTACAGCAACTACAACACATTATTAAAAAAAGGAAACTGAAATCTAAGAGCAGAAAAGGCTGGAAAGCAGGGAAACACCCACCCTGTGCAACTGCAGCTTTCTAGGACTCTGTCCTCTCTCAGTAGCGAGCAGCTAGGGCTGCCTAGGAGGAGAATACCCACAGCTCTTTTTTGAAGAGCTTGTGCTTGCTTGGGTTTGTATCATCATTTCTACTACAAAATTCAAACAAGAACAAAATTGTCTGAGGCGCTGCAGAGACACCAAAGCCCTTCAGGAAAGTGGGATGGGTTATTCCTGCTTCACTGCCATGGCAGCAGGCAGAGCCTGAAGCACATGCTTCATTTATCCTAATGAAAAGTGCTCTTTAGTCCCTTCCTGCCACCCTTATTTTTTTTAATCTTCTACCCCCACAAATGGGCTGAAAAGCCTCATTCCTCTATAG